TTAAGCTACTTTTCTTATATATTAATAAATAAATAATATTAAATTAATCAAGAACAAATTTTTAAGAAAACCTAAAACGATAAAATTTTATAGATTTGTTATATAATGTTCAATTAATTCATACATCCATCCAAATTATAAGCAAAACATCCAAAATCATAATAAATATGCTTGTGAATTATCTTGATAAACATCTTATTCACATGTATGTCACTTCTTGCACTTAAAAGGGAAAATATGCATTCTATTATCCATTTATGCTTCCAAACAACATAGTATCACATATTCTTGTAATATCTAATCTACAATGATGGCTATGATCTGAATGGTAATGTTTACAAAGAAGCATATATAATCTAGTGTTCCAATAAAAGTAGAAAATCTTGTGATTCTAAAGGTTCTCTATTATCTGTTGTTCCTCATGATCCTCAAATGGCAGTTCCACACCAGCAAAAACCACATCCTTACAGTATTCGCGATACGTTTGCAAATCCTTAGGATGATCAATCAAACACGGGCTGTGCAATGTGTGAGACAATACTAAGTATATTTAACAACTCGACTAACTGAAATTAAGAGAAAAAAATTTGACTGAGTTTCATGCAAACATATAACAGAAGTTGAGATCTTTGAAGGATTAGTATATGACCAAGATATGTGCTATGGAATCTTACATATGCGGTTATTCGATGGTGAATTGTTTTCTTGCTTGATTCCTTGAGTTCACCAGCTATTAAGATCTCGTCAAGTATATAATAAGCTTGCGACACAAGTACTAAGTTGTGTAAATGAATTAAGCAAGTAGTGAAGGACTATACATATAGATAAGAATTACTATTAACACCATTTAGCAAGATCTTTTTTCAGCTTAATGGCAAAACCCAATTAGAAAGTTGAACATATTGATCTGCACAAGCGGTACAGAAATATTGAATACTAAGAAACGAATATATTGTCAGCATAATTGTAAGAGAGCAGCGATAGTACCACAGGAATTCCACAATAATGGAGCCAAATCTTGAAATAACTATCTCTAGAAAAAAAAAAGATAAACGAAAATGTATATTAGATACCACAAGAATTCCATGGAAGAAGCCAATTCTTGAAATATTGCTAAATGTGTAATCTAGACTTGGTGTTTGACTTAAGTAATGACAGTTTTATAACTATCAAATGGTGGTTATACTTAACCGAATGTAATTGTCATATGTGTATGTATAAATATGTGATCAGATGTAACTTATAACATGATGAAAAAAATAAAAAACTTCATGTATAAAGAACCTTCTTCTATATTGCAGTAATCTTCCTGCAATTGTTGCTTTAAGTCTTTCTACAACAAAGTGGTATCAGAGTGTTGTTCACGGTTGCAAATCAGATTGTAGAAATGAAAAAAGTGTGTACTACATGGCCTCCCATAACAACATTTTACAACCCCAAATTCCAAAGTTAAATGGGAAGAATTATCATCATTGGAGTATAAAGATGAGAGTTTTGTATGAGTCTCAAGATTTGTGAAGTATTATAGAGAACAGTGTCAATGAACGCTCCAATCAAAAGGAACTGAGTACACAATAAATAACAGAATAGAAGGAAAATAAAAGGGGAGACAAGAAATCCTTGTTCTTCATCTATCAAGCAATGGATGAAAACAATTTTGAGAGGATCTCGACATCAACTATGTCAAAGGAAGCATGGGAGATGTTGTATAAAACATATTAGAATGAAGGACTTTGAATCCGTTGAGGAATTTTACAACTGGGTGATAGCTTTGATGAATCAGATAAGATTAAATGGGAAGAACGTCGAAGACAAGAGAGTGGTGGAGAAGATACTTAGAAGTTTAACTCAAAAATTCGAGTACATTGTTGTTGCAATAGAAGAATCAAAAGACCTGTCATCACTTTCATTGGAAAGTTTGTTGGGAATACTTCAGTCCCATGAACTTCGAATGAAACAATTTGATACTACCCTTATAGAACAAGCCTTTCAAAAGCACGTCTTAATGTGATAACAGGGTTTTTGGTTAAGCACTTGAGGTAATACTTGCGTGATTATTATTTGAATATGTGAAAATGTGCATATTTATATATGACATTGATAATGTGCATATGTGAATGCATGATTTATATTGTTAACATGCATGAAGTTTCGATATATGCATATATATATATATATATATATATGCATGATTGTCATACATGGTTTTGTGGTGATGTATGTGTGTGCATAAATTATGATTATGCAAATTTGAGAGGTGATCTTGTAACTTATATCATGAATCAGAAACCACAGTTGAGCCTAAGCTTGTTCAAGCTTAGGAAAGAAAGAAGAAATGGTAGGCAAAGATGGAGGAGTACCTAACGGTCCATCAATGTTACCAGAAGGATTAATGCCAAGTATTTTAGCATTGTTGTCATAAGGATCGACTTTTGTATACTGAGGAGATTGGAGAGAGTCACCCTCAGCAACTGATTTGTCATCACTCTCTCCAAAATGATCGAATTTTATTTTTCTACTCTTTTCAAGGACAAGAGGTGGTTGGGGGTTTCAAATACCCTGGACGATAGGCCAAATTCAATGAGTGAAGCCTATCAAGATACTCTACCCGATGAGGAGGTTTCAATCCCTTTGCTTTTTTAGCTCTTGGTATTCTGTTGAAAAACTATAGGGGCTTTAGAAGTTTTCCTCTTTAAGGAAGTGGTTTTAGGAGTATGGGTAGACGCTGAAGGTGCTTTTAGGATCGTAGCCCCTTGAGAAAGAGAAGAAGTAGAGGTAGCAAGAGAACCACTGTCATAGTATTTATTGGTAGCGATAGTAAGATCTAGCTTGAGAGAAAATAAAGAAACAAACACTACTTTGATACTACTTGGTGGTCCTGAATGAGGTAACAAGGCTACTTATTTGTAGAAGGGGGTTGAATATAAACACATATTTTACTTTATAAATTGTTATTGGTTATATATAATAATCAATCAATTAAATTATAGATCGTTTGCGAAAGAATATAAGGTAAAATCTTAACCAAAACAGCCTTACTTTACTACTCGAGATAACACAAAAAATCTCTAGCAAAGCTCACATATTTTTCACAAAGAATCTTGAACAAAGCTCATGTAGTTCACACAATTATCTCTTGCAAAATAACACACAAAATATTTTCTCTCTTGAAGACACTAGAGAAGGAAGTTTTCACTGGAATTTATACCTGAGGCATTTAATGCGTTGCATTAAGTACAAGACACGTGTCACAAAAAGGGAGGGAAGCACAACCTGCTTGTCCTTTTTCTAAAAAGCTTTGGCCTTTAGTGAATAGTATACTAGGATAGTGGTCATGCATGAAAGGGGACAATAAAGCATAAGTTGTATTGTACCTTTGTCATGTAGTTTCATGGTTATTTTTTACTTTTGCAATAGAGAGAGAGAGAGATAGAAAGACTTGATATTCAAGACTTTAATTTAGACCAAATGGCCTTTCCCACCTAGTGGTATGCGAGTCTTTGACTTCCTAGGAGGTCAGGGGTTCAAACCTCACCAAAAGGTGAGGAGGGTGTGTGAGTTTATTTGTTCTATTTGTCGTATATAAATATTATATATTTAAAAAATATATTTTAATTTAGCTAGGAGGAAGGAATGCTGAAGGCACATTCACTACTTGTTGAGCTTGTTGCTAATCAATGCTCACTTAATATGATAGGAAGATCTTCTTAAACCACTTTAGTTACATCTTCGACATTACATGAAGTTCTTTAGCTGTATCTTTGACATAACATGAGGTTCTTGTTGTAAGTTTCAGACTTGATTGCCACTGAGTAAAGACAATGTTCATCATTGAGTGAACATTCAGTGAGCACTCAAAAGATTCAGGCGCTGAACCTTCATAGAACATAAATGGAATATAAATAACTAACTATTTAGGCGAGTCATCATCAAAGCTCGGAGGAGGATCAACATGTGTTGTTTTATACGTCAATTCAGTTGAGTGTCGGTAAGCAAAACTAGAACACCGAGCATGAGTGAATGGCGTCCTTGCATACTGCAAGATCCATATCTATATCACAATATGACCAATGACACTTTTTATGCTAACATAAAACTTGCAATCATGTTTTATTATTATTTT